CACACAGGCTCTGCCGGGCTTGGCTGTGGTCCTATCCCTAGGGGCTTGCCAGATCACACTGCAATTATCCATGAGCTCTCCTACCCCCAGCCCTTCATCAAACAAAGCTGTCTTTGCCACCCCCTCCCCACCCTGGTGCCCAACACAATGCATTGAACATGTAGATGTCAATAACTAAGTGTTGGCTGAACTGGCTGGTTGAATGGGAGCATGATGGCAGCTGAGCCAGAAGAGCAGAAGGTGGGCCCTGAGAGCCTGTGTTGTTACAGAGGCTTCTGAAGAGCCCCACAGCTTGCCAGCGCCTTACAACTAGGGAGCAGAGCAGGTCTCAGGGGCTGGCTGTCGGAGGAGCTGGACTATCCTCACACCCGTAGAGACCAAGAGGATGGAGTTCAAGATGGTTCCTTGTAGGGACAAAGAAGGGATGTGATCTGGTCCACACTGAGGAGGTGTGGTAACCAAAACCAAGCAACCAAACCCAAGTGATGCAGTAACACCCAGTCCCACAGGTGGCAGGAGTTCAAAGTGTGGACAGGTCATGAGAGCTGCAGGAGTCAGCAGGGGACATATGGGGAGGTGGAGACACTCAAAGCTGGAGGCAGAACTCGTGCAACCTTGCCCAGAACACTGGACCAATGATGTCGGCTGGGGGGCGGGGACAGGGGCACTAAATCACTGACTTACAACCTGATTAGAAAACTGAAGGGGGAGGTGAGCACCAGAAAAGCCAGTCTGATCTAGGAGAACAAAATTCCAGAAGGCGGTAGGGATCGAATTTATGTCCAGCCAGATGGTGGAGACGCTGCCTCGCCAGGGTCTGGATCCAGTAGGCTGGGAGGGAGCCCTTATCTTTTGGAGCCACTGGTGCCACGCCCAAGGGGCTGGTGGCTGATGAGAGGAGGACGTTATGAGGGTGGCAGGAAGGGAGCGTGTTTTGTAGCCTTTAAATATATCCCAGCTTTGAGGAACCACTTCTTCTCCAGGTAAATTTGCATAGGTGGGAGGAAGTGTCCTAAAACGGCATGCCCAAAAATGCAGCTACAGGTTGTGACAGCTTCGTGGAGAAAGGGATCCATGTGACCCAGGGCAGAGGTAGAGCATGTCAGCTGAGCCCGTCTCTGAGGAATAAGGGACAGGAGGGGAGTAGCGGGAGCAGGGACCTTGGTTTATTGATTCTAGATCCACTGAGAATGGCCAAGGCTGAGACCTTGCAGAGGTTCCAGAAATGATGCCACGTGACCCTTGTTAGTCCCTTTCCTGCCATGTGCCCTGCTCCCAGCCCCCACTCTATGTCACCAAGAGGAAAGCCCTAAAAACCACACTAACTGCACACCACCCCCTTCACAGCCCAGACTGGTGGAACCGGGAGGGGAGAGGCAGTGGTGGCCACTAATGGGTGTGGCTGCGGGGTGACTGGCGGGAAAAACCAGGTGGTTACTGAGACCGAAGTCAGACGCCAGAAAGGGAAAGAGCACAAAGCCAGCAAGGTCTGGAGAAGGAATTCCGGGGGCTTCTGCTCTGAAAGGTCTCGGAAAATGTAGGGGAATCTGGAACAAAATGCCAAATGAAACTTTCAAAAGTGAGTCCCTTGTGTATTCCAGTAGTCTCCAGGCAGGGTGTGTGCACAGGGACCTCTGCGAGCCCAGGGACAAGGGACAACCGCTCTTTGGAACAGCTCCCCCAGTAGGCCACAGGAGCTAGAGACAGAACGCTTGTCTGCTCTTCAGAGCTGAGGGGCTGCCCAGAGACCAAGTGCATGGAGGGAAGTACCGACTTTAAAGAAAGATGGAGGGCACCCATCTGTGTATCCAACCCACGCCCACTGTGGAAACAGGCGGAAGAACCAGGATGGTCAAAGTCCGGAATATAGCGTCTGGATAAAGCAGCCACACCACTGGGGGCCTCCCAAGATTTTTGGTTGCTGAACGGATCTGTATCTTTCCTCTATTTCCCACTTTCAGTAATTCTGAGCAAACGATTAGGGAGAATTCATTATTCTATTACTCTTCCCCACCGGTAAAGTGATCTTTAACCCTAATCAGAAATGCAAGAATTGATCAGGAAGACGCTGCTTAAAACGACGAAAGTCTGTCTTTCTCGGTGGTGCATTAAGAGCGCCCGACTTGGAGCCAGAGGACTTTGACCTGAACCCAGCTATCCTAGCTGGGTCGTCTTGGGCCTGTGCTCCCACATGTAAAATGGAAATAGTCATGCTAAGCTTTGCCTCACAGGTTGATGTGAGGTCCAACTGTGTGCATAGAGCCAAATCCAGATCCCGGCACGCATTTGATATTCAATTAACATGAGACACTCAGCCGATAGAACTCTGCTCTACCTTAAGTATAAGGTTCATTATCCCTGGAAGTGCTACCTGAGGAGCGTGAATTGGCCTTGACGCTGCCCAATGCAAGCTTAAAATTTTCTGGCATGAAATGATTCAAGGCAGAGCCTCTGTCCTGCCTTATTAAACACAGCATCCTATCTGGACCCACACATTAGAATGACCATCCCAAGAAATGTTTTCTTCTTCCAGTTGGAGAGAGAAGCCGGCATTTATAAAGACATCCTCTGTTTCCATAAGCAGGTTAGGCCGGTTTCCCAGCTATGGCTGACACCTGTGACCCAGGGTTGCTCTGAGCCACCCGTGGGGCTGCTGTTGAAGCCCAGCAAGTCCCATGAGAGCAGAAAGTTCCAGGAGCTCTGAGGCAGGCCCCAGGAGCTGCAGCAACTCGCTGATCACAAAACCAACCCAAAGCAGTGTGACCAACAGGGGTACACACAGACCCTCTGTGTCAGGTGACGCCCAGGGTGGCTTCTGAGATCTCAAGTTCTTCGGTGAGAAAGATTTTTTTTTAAAGGGAGCAGAGTGGAAGGATAGAGAGAGAAGGTGACATTTGTCTGGGTTTTCCCCACAGATTAGATAGAACAGAGAAGGCCCTGAGCTTAACTGGGAAAGGGCCTTGAGGACACTCCCCGGAGGCCAATGGTCCCCTCCCCCTTCCTGAAAGCAACAGGCAACAGTGTTGAAACTCCACAGCAGAGATGTTCCAGAACACACAAGAAGGCAGGCCTGCATAGTAGCGGCTAGCTGCCCAAGCAGCTGCTCTCAGTTATTAAGACACGGACATGCTCTCATCCAGTTGGCATAACCCTCTGCCCCGAGGCCCTCACTGCTCCCCATCACTCTGGCTGCCACAACACCTCCTCCAGGAAGCCCTAGCCCTCCTCAAGATCCAGAGAGGCAAACCACAGGTTTAACATCTGCCTCCAGGAATTTCTGATTGGTCGGGACTAGTGGTGAAATGGTTTGAAGATCACTCCTGACGTTGGCCCCAACTCCCCATGATCTATGCCATCTCCAGGGGATAGAGGCAGAGGAGGGGACAGCGGTGGCCTCCCGGTCACATCTCTCTCCCAACTCTCAGGACCCAACTGCCTCAGCCACCCACCCACCCACGTTCTTACTGCCACGGGCAGCTACCACAACACAAACCCTGAACTTCTCAGTTCGAACTACTGGGGGTTGGGGCAGGGGCGGGGGGCTGTTGCTGCATCTAAGTGGAGCAAAAGTAAAGGAGCCAACAGAATTCCCCACAGCGAGATTGTGAAAACCACTCACAGCCAAGGAATGGCAGCCAATTGGGCCATTCCCAACCGGCTCGCCCACCGCCCTGCACAGCCCCCTCTGGAGGCCCTCCTTATCTCCTTGACCTCAAACTAGGATGGCATCTCCACTCAACCAAGGAAAGCTCCCAAAGTCCGGGACCTGGACATTAAAAATATGTCCTTCCGATTCTTTGTCCTCTCTTTGTACATTGATCAAATAATGCACCACATACCACAAAGTTCTTCGAAACTGGACCAAGAATATGCAATTCTATAGCCAGTTAAGTCAGAGTGGAGAATAAGTCAGAGTGGAGAATTAAGGATAATGACTGACAACCCTTTCTCTCCCTCTCCCCCCCCATTTCCTCCCTCCTTCCTTCCCTCCCTGCCCCACTCTCTCCATCTGACACACATGCAGACATACACACTCTCTTCTCGAGGAAATCTTCGAGAAAGATTTTGCCAGAACTGGAAGAAACTATTTTCAGCCCATTATGATAGCCAATTTATAGCTGCCCTGAGGCTATGATTTAAACCAGGTCCTTAAAAGTCCCTGTCTCTGTGTTTTTCATGGGCAGCTACCTGGATTACGTACACCTTGTTGAAAACACGGGCGAGATTATATGGCTGTCCTAGGGTCAGGTGATTACTGAAACAGAGACATAATCCACACCAGACCTTGTCCGCCAGGAGACCAGAGGCCTATGAGGCAGGTAAGATATCCATGGGACAGGAGTTGCTCTCCCATCCCCAGGCCAATTGGTCACCACAAATAATTTCTTTCCCTGAATAACACAAACAAGCAGGGTTTTCCCTGTTTTGTACAAGAGGAGGGGAGCAGCAGGAGACCAGCTGTCTGATGGAGTATAGTCCCGACGCCTGTTTCTAATAGCAAGACAAATCCTTGATGGAAAATGGACGAAGTAATCAAGCTGGCAAGAAATCAGAAGGAAATACCCAGGCCCCTTTCTTCCTAGATGTACACCTAGGACATGTCAGAAGCTTAAAACTGATCAGGAAAAGAAAGGGAAGATTACTCTATAGATAAAGTTTTGATTTTCTTATCTGCTTTGGTGGCTTTCTGGAGTCATTGGGTTTGATTTTTTTAAAGGAATGCCTGTACCACAGGAAATCAACGCCAGCACAAAAAATAAAGTCATGTGGAATTTTTGAACACTGCCATACGGTAGAATCAGTATCCTAGTTGTTATAATGAAAATAGAACTCCTGCTTCTTAATTAAAAAAAAAAAAGATCAAGTATAAATCTCAGCTTTGTTAGTACCCCTGTGCCTGACGTGAAGTAGGTCATGAAGAAAGTGGCCCCAGAGGAGATGCCACGTGAAGGAGGAGAGGCAGGTGAGAATGTTCCCGTGAGCATCTGGGGCAGACTTACTTGGGTGTGCCCATGGGTTTCCAGTATCTGCAGAAAAGGTACTGCCCGTCGGCGTTGACCAGGTGAGGCAGGTCCTGGTATGGAACGCTCTGCGGGGTCCGCCTGGGAGAACTTTCCTCCGGCATTCTGGAAGGATCGTCAAGTCCTTGAAAGAAAAGAGGACATATTCCCAAGTCAGAGATATGGCAAAACACACAGAGATGGGGAGAAAAGCGTTATTCAGTGTCAGTAATATTTTTTAAGCAGTACAAAAAAAAAAAAACCAAAAACCCTCCATTTCAAAGATTCTTAAAAACCCATATATTTCTTGCAATCTCTCCAAGACTGAAAAATCCCATTTGTTCTTAAGAAAATGCTCACTTTATTTTTTAAGTGCCTCATTACAGCTTTTTCCCCCTTCCCATCTGTGTTTATTTTAAATCATTTCAGGAAACTTCATCTTAAAGACTATTTTAGCAGTAATCAAGTGGAAATTATAGTCAGCTCTGTGGGTATAAAGACCCAGCTGCAAGAAGACCCATCTATCTCAAAATCCCCAAGGAAGTTTCAAAGGGGCACAATAATGAGGTGGATGATACTCCAATTAATTCCTCCTGTCTGAAATTCCAAAGATTCCGTGACAAACCTGTTTCCATCATGTCCTAGCTTTTGCATTCCACAACCACGACAGCATGGAGGATCAGAGCCAGGCAAATAAGGGCTGTTCCCTCATCTCTGCGGTCACAGGGCAGCATTCAAGCAGCTCCCCAGCCCCTGTCCCCCCACCCCGCGCCCTGCCCCCAGAGCCTGCCTTTCGGGCTTTAGGGGGTGCGGAGCCGGGCAGTCTGCGACCAGCTTGCACTGACAAGCCCTCCGGGGCTCCCCTCCTTCCCCAGGGGCGGGGAACATGCGCCTGCTATGCCCCACTACTAGTTTAGGTCATCACTTTCCCTAGACAAACCCATGGAGGGGTTCGGTGGGGGGAGGGGCTCCGAGTCCCGCACCCCCTGCCCAGGGAAACTGGGAAACTAGCACCGCGCACCCGGAGGCACCTCGCACACGCACAAATGCGGGTCCCCGAGGCAAAGTCACCCCCGAGGCTCCTGACAAACTTTGCTTCCCTGCCTGTCTCCGAGGAGCCCCGCAGCTGTCACTGGGAAAGCCACGGGAAAAACCAGGAGACTTCGCCGGGCGTGTGCACGGGGACGGCGGGGGACCGTGAAGATGGAGTTGACGCGGACAAGTTGGTTTGGCGGCTGGTGCGAGGGAGCAGGGGAGGGCGCGCGCACAGACGCGCGCACACAAACACGCGCACCACACAGACACTCGCGCGCACACGCGCGCGCACCAGGGGGCGCGGGAGCCCACGCCGAGCGTGCGGGGGACCCCCGAGGCTGCTCCCCACCCCTGGGGACGGCACTTGCTGGCTGGGGCAGGGGACGGGAGGCAGTTACCGGGGCCACGAGCGCCGCTGTCGCGTTCCCCGAGCGCCGCGGGTCCTCGTCTGCGGCGGGCCGGTGTCGGGCCGAGCTGCGCGCCGCCGACTCCGCGGCGACAGGGCGCGGCGTCTGCGCTGCCACTTTATCCCCGGGCCGGCTTGGCGGCGGGGGCGGCTGGAGGTGGGTGGGGACGCGCGGGACCGGCAGGCGGTGCGGAGAGGCGGCGCCCAGGGCCCACGTGTGCCCGGCCCCGCGGGGAGGAGCAGGGGGCACAGCCCGCGGACCCGGCCACGCGCTCTTCCCCGCCCGGCCTCGCGGGAGGCCGCGCCCCGGGGTGGCCGCCTGGGGACCATCACCAAGCCTGGAATCCAGCTGGGCTCACCAGAGTGTCAGCGCGGGAGGACTTGCCACACCCACGCGCAACACACCTAGCGCACACAGACCCACGTAGGGACCCACGCGCACACCGCACATACAGACTGCACGCATACATACACACGGGCCACATACGTGCCCAGACCCACACCTGGGTACTACACGTACAGACACAGACAACACACAGGGACACATACAGATAACATGTAGACGCTCCATGTTCACAAGGACACACACACATACAGGCATGTGCATAGACGTGCCTACAGATACACATGCATGGACACATACAGACATGTAAATGACATACCACACATACAGACAGACACACAAGCACATACATACTCAGTACACAAAGACTGACATGTGGGGCCCGCGGAGATACACAAACCTACACAGACACACACAGAAAGGAACACAGTGTGACACACTCATGTGCAGACACCCGTAGACCTCACCAAGCACACAAACATGACATGCACATATGGGCAGACACACATATTGCACACATACACACACACACACATTCACACCCCCACAGAGACACACATGGTCAGACACACATAAAAAGCTGGGGTGGGGGTGCACCTAGGTGGTAGGGTAGAGGCAGACTGGAGTGTGACAAATGTCCTCAGCTCACACTGACCTCAGCTGGCCTCTGTGCCTTTCCTTCTTTCACAAATAACTTTACACCATAGCAATGATTAAAAGAACTGCTGTCCTCCAGAAACCCGTATCTCAATGTCACATTGTGGGAGTGTAGGGGGCCCAGGCTGCTTAGAGCCTGTGATCTAACTTAAGAACTAAAACAATAGCCTTTGAGAAGCTCTGGGTTTTAAGTGCCGCCCAGTGGCTCACCAGCTCTCTGGCCTCAGGCAGTTCATCAGGCTTGGGACAGAGAAGGGACAGCTAAGTGACTTCACCGAGGGGCAGTTTACAACAGCCGTGCAGGACGGGTCCAGAGCCAGCAGCCCTGGGGCAGGGAGCTGGGGGGCCCGGCCTTCCCGCTGGCCCTGCTAAGTACATTGTATTTACTTGGATGGTAATTTCTTCAAGGCACAGCAATTGGGGATCTAATAGAGAGGTTGGAGGGGCCATAGCCCACCAATAAACCTTGGCTGTGGCTGTTGTTTTGTTTTTTTCCAGCTCCAACATTCCAAAACTAAATAGTGTGAAAGTTTGGAGGACATATTTTGCTGAAGTTATCAGCAGAGCCTCTGTAGAAATGGTGATAGAGAGTTTGAGGATTTGTTTGCTCGGTTACCAGCATAAATGAGAGCGTGGTGTGCCGTCAGCAGGTTGGGAAACCAGGACTGAAGAGACTGAGACTCTGCTGTTGTATATCTGGCTTTTTTTTTTTTTTTTTGAAGTAAACTTTTTATTTTGAGATACTGGTGGATTCACAGCAGTTGGTAACAAATAATAGAGAGAAATGCTATGTGTCCTTTATCCAGTTTTCCCTAGTGGTAACATCTTGGGAAACTAGGACAGTATCACAATCAGAATACCGACATTGATACAGTCAAGATGCAGAACATTCCAGAACATTATGCTGCCCTTCTATAGCCAGAGTTACTTCCTTCCCACCCCCGTTTCCTTTATAACCCGTGCCAGGTGCTTAATTTGTTCTCTGTTACTAAAATTTTCTCATTTCGAGAACGTCCTATGACTTAAATCACACAGTACGTGATCATTTAGGATTCACTGTTTTCTTTCGGCATTTCTGGTGGTTGTGTGTAGCATTCTGTGGTATGGATGAACCACACAGTTCATTGAGGGACTTTTGTGTCATTACCCCTTTGAGCTATCATGAATAAAGCTGCTTTCTCAGCCCATGTAGAGGTTTTTGTAGGAACATGAGTCTTCATTTCCGGAGAGGGTAATTGCTGGGCCATACAGAAATTGCATATTGTTGGGGGAATAGCTCAGGGGTAGAGCATTTGACTGCAGAAATTGCATGTTGTTTAAGAGCCTGCCCAGGGATGCCTGGGTGGCTCAGTGGGTTAAAGCCTCTGCCTTCAGCTCAGGTCATGATCTCAGGGTCCTGCGATCAAGTTCCACATCGGGCTCTCTGCTCAGCAGGGAGCCTGCTTCCTCCTCTCTCTCTGCCTGCTTGTCAGCTTACTTGTGATCTCCGTCTGTCAAATAAATAAATGAAATCTTAAAAAAAAAAAAAAAGAGCCTGCCCAAATGTGTTCCAGTGCAGCTGTGCCCTTTCACATGCCCACCCAGAATGTGTGAGAGGGCCATTCTCTCCGTGTCCTTGTTAGCTTTCAGTGTTGTCTCTTTCTTTACTTTAACCTTGTCCTCCCCACTGTCTTTTCTCTTCCTCTCCCTCTGGGGCACAATGATATGATGTTAGATCTCTTGTTATAGTCCCATAGGTCTCTGAGGCTCTCTTCATTTGTTTTCCTATTTTCTCTCTATTGTCCAAATGAGGTAATTTCTAGTGCCCTGTCTTCCAGTTCACTGCTTCTTTTCTCTCTCCCCTCCATTCTGCCTCTGAACCCATCCTCTGAGCTTTTTGAATTCAGCTATTGACTTTGTCAGCTCTACAATTTCCCCCTTTGGTTCGTCCTCAGCTGAGACTTTCTATTTTCCATTAGTTTCAGCCATGTTTGTAATTGTCCCTTGAAGCATTTTTATCATGGCTGCCTTAAAGTCTCTGTTCTTTCTTATACCGTCTAGTCATTATCTTTTTTCATTCAATTTTAGGTCTTCTGTGGTTCTTGGTGAGCTGTGTGATTTTCTATGGAAACCCAGATGGTCTAGTATTGTATTATGTGGTGAGACTCTGGATTTTATTGAAATCTGCTGTCTTAGCTGGTCCTCTCTGACACTGCTGCAGGCCAGGGGATGGGTGGGTGTGGCCTCATTACTCCCAGGTAGAGCTAGAAGCCCAGGTTGCCTACTCAGCCTTGGTGGGTAGAACTGCACCATGTTTTTCTTCCGTGTTATTTGACTAGTATAGAAAGGTCAACATCTGAAACTTTTCTGTCTTGTTCAGCTTTCTCTCTCCTGGTCCTTTGGCTTGAAAGAGCAGGCTTTGGTTGGTTGGGTATTGTTTGGTCTGTGCCCATGATGTTTCTGGGTTGCTGGCTTCTCCAGCTCCAAGACTGGAATATCTGAGGCAAAACAAAAATCCAAGCACTCAACTCCATGTTGTTCCTTTGCGCCTGAGGTCTCTAGCTGGTCTGCCTTTTCTCTCCCCTTTCAGAGTCTCCTTCACTTTGTTTTATATATGATGTACAGGGTTTTTAGTTGGACTTACTGGGAGGAGTAGGGAAAAGAACATCTCCTGTGCCATTGCAAATACAGATGTTCTATATCTGGCTATATAATCCAGCATTCCTTGCCTACCCATGTGCCCACAGAGACCTCAGGACCCAGTCTCTCTAGACCAGAACACTCTAGAGACAATCATCTTCCAGAAGAGTGCCAGTTGGCAGGATCTGTCCCTACAGCTTGGGATGAAAGGATAGGGCAGCAATTCAAATAAAAGAGGTATCTTTCTGCTACCACTGGTGTCTTGTGTGGCTTTCCAGAAATGCTCTAAGGTTTGAGCTGAATGGAACATGCTGGAAATAGCTGTGGGGAGGAAGGAAGTAGGAAAAAACTAGGAGACAATAAGAAAGCCAAGAGTTTCTCTTATTAGAAATTTTGGCAATGGCAAATTAACTTCTATAGCTTTTTACAATCCCAGGACTTTGGGGTGCTGTATACCTCAACTGTGGGTCACTTCTGGACGGAGAGAGGTGGAGGCTGGGAATGGAGATGGTTATTAGAGTGAATGATAGAGAAGAGGTAAGACTTTGAACAAACTTAGAAGGAAAATCAGATTAAAATACCTAAACTCTGAAATATGC